GGCAGCTTTTGTCTGTGGAGAATGGGGTCCCTGAGATTGATGGGGGGTGAGGGGGCACCTGGTTGAGAGCTCGATGATCTCCTTGAGAGCAGCTGTAGAAGCTGAGGATGAACGTCCTTTATTTTTAACTTCATCTCCTAAGAATCTGTTTTTAAGACCCCGTGTTGACCAATCAGCTGTGCACTCTGCCGGAACAAAGAACGGGTTTTACAGATTTTTGTTCCACACTTTTCAAAATCAAGGTTGTACCTAAATGAGTGAAGCCACCTCTTGATGCTGGAGCAGAGCGCTTGAAGCTCCGCTGCACCTGAACGTCTCGTCACAGTAATTGGCTTTACCAAAGCCTCCGCCTTAAACGAGGCTGGAGCCGCTGCAGGCTCAGCTGCTGAGCAGCACCGTCAGCTGAAGGTGCTGTTAGGAGCTGGTGCTGTGGGAGCGATGCTTCCTCTCTGTTTGTGAGTACAGCTCAATGTTGGGCTCTGTGAGCTCCGTCTGTTTGACCTGACCTTCGGCTGTTCTCTCTCAGGTTCTGTCCGGCGGGATGGACGAAGGCCGGGGACAGGACCACTACGAGGAGCGCCTGCAGGAAGTTTTCAACAGTTTCGACACGAGCGGCTGCGGCTCTCTGAGCTCGGAGGAGCTCTCGGACCTCTGCCGGTCTCTGCACCTGGACGACGCTACGCCGGCTCTGCTCCACAGACTGCTGCAGAACCAGGACCACCTCAGGGTGAGACTATCCATCACCAGAGAACCAGAACCTCCTGAGGATCGTGTTCTCTGTGGCCACAAATCCCCTTCATCTCCGTCCACCACAGCTTTGATCTCCTGCTCTGTTGGCCTTCGTGATGTTTGCTCGTCTGTCACCATGACGACCAAGCTGCTTAATGATTATCCCCTCGTGTTTTTAGGTTCTGTGTAGAAATAAATCGAACTGAAGCGAATCGTTCGTTGAAGCGTTCAGATGGAAACGCAGGACTGTGAGGTGGAGCGCTCAGAGTACGACTCTCAGCTACTACCATCACAGTTTACCTCAACATCTGTACAACTGACCAACATCTGTACAACTGACCTCGACATCTGTACAACTGACCTCGACATCTGTACAACTGACCTCAACATCTGTACAACTGACCAACATCTGTACAACTGACCAACATCTGTACAACTGACC